AGTTTTAGTGATGATTGCTGTAATATCTGTCTGCCATCAGAACAGACATTGCTCTTCAGTCTTCTCAATAAAGCCTCCAAAGATGTTTCACATAATTTGTGGACTTTTCAGATAAATTGCTGTAGTGGGGTACTTGAGTGAAGGCAAAAAGAATGACCTCCTCCTTGCATGGCAGCATAGTATGTAATATAAGACTACACCCACAGCAGTCAGAGCTGCATTTCAATGCAATTTTAAGATTTTATCCCTTCATTTAATAGATTAATAAAGAGTCACTGATTTAGTCTTAAGAGGTTAATAAGCTTAATGTGAATTAATGCAGTTTAATTTTTAACAACACGTATTTAAATATTTATTTTATTTTAAATTACGTTTTATAAAATTTATACATTGCATCAATCCATTCAGACTCTGGGCAGTTCACAGTAGATATAATAAAATATAAGTATCTAATTTAACATATTAGAATTTTTTAAAAGTGATTTAAAAGTAGTCACCTATTTATATTCATTTTATAAGCAGGTGAAAGTTTTTAGACATTAAAACTAAACAGTAATCTTTCCAAGCCTTATGTAAATGTCTAGTATTGAACTGGCACAGAGGAGCGTTGAGTTTGTGCTTCACCCTCAGCCATCAAAACTCATTGGAATTTGAGTCAGTCACCCTCAGCACAAGCTACAGGGTGATTGTTCTAGAGCAGGGGTAGGCAACCTTGGCTCTTTTATGACTTGTGGACTTCAACTCCCAGAATCCTGAGCCAGCATGGCTGGCTCAGGAATTCTGGGAGTTGAAATCCACGAGTCATAAAAGAGCCAAGGTTGCCTACCCCTGTTCTAGAGAATAGGAAGAAGCACTATGAATTGAAGAGATATATAAATCTAATAAATAAATATCTTAAAAAAAGGGCACAACGTAACAGAAAAAAATTCAAAAGAATGCACCAAGAAATTAACATTTCCTCCATTTCAACGGGATTTAAGCTGAAGAATTCATTGTACTGGGATTCTTCTGGTATCATTCATTGTCCACTATACTTGTACTCCCTTGATTCAACTAAACATATATTACATTAAATGCCTATTCCCAATTTATCTGTGTTATATTGATTATTGCCCAATGCTTTACACTGCCATTTGAAAAACAGAGAAATGTTAAGAAAAATTCTTCAAGATGCAGAAGTGCAATTACTTGAAAACGGGCTGCAATGGTTAGTATATACCAAACTGAATTTAAAGCAGCAAAAAATTGCTTTGCTCTATAATCACAGATACATTTCTAGAAAGAAATCAGCATAAAGCATATTAAAGATCTTGATGCCATTCTCTGGATAGGATTTTACAGTTATGCAGTGCATGTACACCTATCTTTGCACTTGGAATTTATATTGGGTTGAACCTGAAACAGGAAGATAATTTAGACAAAGGGAGAAGGTAATCTGATCAAATTTTTTTTGGGTTTCCAACTCATTTATCTCAGCAAGGTTTTGAACTCTTTCAGATTATATAAATAGCTGGCATCATAACAGCCTAATTCTACTTACTGTAGCACTACCATATGGAAAACTCATATCAGAATTTTGTTAAAATGAAAAAGCTTGTTTTATTTAGGTTAGCAGTCAGCAAACTATAGCCCACAGGCCAAATCTGGTCCACTGTTTGTTTTTATACAATCCTTGAATGGCAGTTCTCCAAGTCTGAGCCTCAACCGAGGACCCAGGTAATGGTGGGGCTAAGGGCTGGGGTAGCCTAGGCAGTGACTTACCAGCAGCCTCCTTGTTGGAGGGCTAGCACTGTTCAGTGGCTGCTGTGTGCCTTGGCCTCTAACCAGGTCCACAGAGGTGGAAGAGGGAGAAGATCTAGCGGCTAGCCCTTTAAGGAAAACATTTGCAGATTTCCAATTTAGAGCAAAGGTGTTATGGCTCTATCCTTCCAAAAGGAACCAATTAAATGCCTACTGTACATCATGAACCTTATCACTTCACCTTATTTCAAGATCCTTATTACACCCGCAATTGTACACATGAATATGATTCTCTCCCCCCACCCCATTTTTTTGCCACCACAATAGGGGTGACATTATGGCAAAGGATTGTGTGTTATTTTTCTACAGTCTATATCCTATTAATCAAGATTTTGATAAATCCTTGTGCTCTGAGACAGAGTGAAAGTAAAAGGAGGTAAGTATATAACTAATCTTTATTCACTCACGAGATTAATTGTAACTGCAATATTTTTTGTTCTTTCTGTATGCCACAAATTGCCTTTCATTAAACCAGAGGAAAAATCTTTGAAGCGTTGTATAAAAGAAAATAATTAATGCATCCATCCACCCATCCTTTCACAAAAAGTGGTGGATCACAAGAGACATCTCTTCCCATTTCCATAATTCCAAAGGCCAGCCAGCATGAAGTAAACCAGAATGTAGAGGTGTATGAAGATAATCTTGATGAAGATATGCAGGAACCATTAAGAGAGGCTAAATGGCAATTTAGTCTTGGGGAAGTGGATAACATGAGAAAGAAACTTAGAACAACCCTGCCTTGATTCTGCTTGGTATAAGAGGAGACAGAAGGTATGACAGGCTTTCAAGAATCTGTTATCATATCCTATAACAATAAAATAGTGTTTCTATCCTCCTCATAGTGCTCGTTTTCTGACCTGGCCTACCTCGAGCATAGTTTGGGGGCATATCCTGGACTCCACCTGTTGGGTACATGCTATTTACCACTTCATAAACTGGTATAAAAATTGAAGGCTTGGGTTTACACAAAACACTAAGCCAAAGCAGTTATAGGATGGCTTAGCGCACTCTATGAACTCAGCCTCTGATTAAATCTCTTAAATAATAAGGTCACCAGCAATATTGATATATCTGCTAATGAAGTGATGAGAGTCCTCTACAATGCTGCAGTGAAGCAAGCTGAGCCACATCTGGAGATGGTATAGAGATAGCTGCAACATCTTAGATAATCCAACTCAGGCACTTAGCTAAAAAAACTCATCAAGACCAAGCCATTCCCAATCCAGGCAAATCTCCCTTACTGAACACCAACACCAGTCAGAATTAAGTTACCAGAATATGTTTGTACTACTGTTAGAGGCCATCAGAGAAAGCCCCCATGTTTCATCCAATCAGATTCTAGTTCCATCAAGCCCCCCCCTCTCTCTCAAAGTAGCCCCCCCGCCGCCCCAGCACCGCAAGTATTCCTCAGCAGCGAGGAGAAACTTCCTTACCTGGCCTTTCACTAGGCTAGCGGCAAACTGGCGCATGACAGCCTCAACAGTGTAGGCGCTTGACCATCCTCGGGGAGTGAGCAGCTCCATGCAGATGGCTCCGCCATCGAGGACGTAGCCGTTCTCCAAGCGCGGGCTGAGCACCCGCATGAAGGGCGGCGCGAAGGGGAAGTTGTCTGGGAAGGTGAGGTTGAGAAGGATGTATTCAGTGTTGGTCTCCTTCATGTCCTGCCACAGCACCGAGTCCTTGTCCACCTGGTGCAGCTTCACGTTCCAGTCGAAGAGGCTCTCGTCCACAAGCTCCACCGAGATGAAGCGGTCGCTCAGGCGGGCGATGTCCTGCAGCTCCTTCATTAGCCGTCGGGTGCGCACTTGTGTGCAGTGCGCCTGCCGGCTGGCCGGCACCAAAGACGTGGAAACCAAGGCCGAGCCGGAGCGGCTAATGCCGCTGCCCCCTCCTAAAGGTTGCTCCTTTGCGGAGCCCCCCTCCTTGCCGCCTCCGGGGTGCTGCGCTTTTTCTTTCCCGGCGTCGTGGGCCGCCGGCTGCTGCTTCGCCAGCTCCAGGACCTTCTTCGGCTTGTTGCGAGCCGGGCTACCACCTCGGCTGCTGCAGCTCTCTCTGCTGGGGCTGCCGCAGCCGCTAGCCGGCGTGGCTTGCAGCTGCTGCTTATTCTTATGGTTGCTTTTGCCTCGCAGCGAGGAGCCCTGCTGGAGGCTGCCGCGCCGGTGATGATGGTGCTTGGGGTCCTCCGTGTCCCTATTGTGAAGGCGAATCAGCCCGATTTTCCGGAGTAGAGTAGCCATTCTCCAACGGCCTTGAGGGGTCGCCGAAGCGGCAGGGCAAAACGGGGCTAGGCAAACAGCAGGGGGAAGGCGGACCTCAGATCGGCCACCTGTCCGAGCTAATTAAACCGGCGACCTGGGATCCCCGGAGTTCCAAAGCCGATCAAAACAGAGGAAGCCGGAAGGACGCGATCTGGATGATACTTCTGGTCCGATTGCTCCCCCAGCCTCTTTCTCCGCCGTTCAGATCCCTCCTTTCAGCAGCGCCGTCGGCAACATTGCAGCATTCGAAGCGCCTCTCCCGGAATCACCAAAGCTCCGCTGCCGTGGCCATTGAATCCCCCGTTGAAAAGGAGGGGGAAGCACCCCCAGCAGCCCCCTTTACCTCCGCCCACTCGCGCAGGCACGCTGCTGGTACCGCAGGAGGCCCCTCGCTTTCACAATAACCTTCAGGTCTTATTGACCGAAAATAAAAACGGGATCTTATCCAAGAATCATCCACCACCCCCCTTTCTTTTTGCGCGAATCAAAAATCACCCACCCACCGGCGCGGAGCGCAGCGAGGGGAGAAGGAGGGATCCCAAGGCAGTTTCCCTCCCGCCCCGCTCCGCCGGTCGACAACGTCGGTCTGCTGAAAAATGTCCTCGCTAGCAAGTGGTGCTCCTTCTTCAAATGCGCTTCTGGAAAAGCGGCACTGGTTGCTTTCTTCTCCTTTGTTCCACCTCGGGCTTCTCTCGCTTGGAAGCCGGCAGCCGGGATCGTTTTGGACTGAAGGCGTTTACGCTCGGGATTAAAAAAAAAAGCAAGCAAGCTGTGGGAAGGGTTGGAGAGCTGTCTTCTTTGCGCAAAAGAAGGCGACCTTCTTTAACGAGCCCGGCGTCCTGCCCTTTAGTTCACCTCTTCGACAACAGAAATGGGGGGAACCCGAATCAGCCGCGCGGCGGGCTCTCCTCCTCCTCCTCCTCCCTTGCAGAGTCTGCCGCGCTTCTGCAGCGGATCTGACATTACTGGCGTCGCGGAGGAGAAAAGCGGACTAAACTCCACCCCGCTACTCTGTATGCTCACGAAGAGGACGTCCTAGGCGAAAGCTCACGTGGTGGTAGGCCGGGCTCTCCCTAGCTGGAGAGCGAAGGTGGGGGGGGGGGCGAGTGGGAATTATGTTGTGAGGGACGAATGCGGGAGCGATGCGTGATTCTTTTCTCTTAGCCTCAAAGCGTCGGTTTTTCCCCGCTTTCTTCGCCTCTTCCGCAATCACCGGTGCCAGGCAAACAACAGATTATCTGCCTTTTGGAGGGCTTATAAAATTACATTAATTTAACTACCGTGGTCCTGCTTTAAAGCGAGGGTTGATTGTATCTATTGGTAAATACAAAAGGAGACAAAATAGGGAGCGTTTGCGATGCAGAGATAATAGAAATTTACAACAATTTTCTTCAAATAATTTTTGTTATTTTTCCCAAAGACAAATCCATGTGTGAGAAACAGCGTTGTGGTGGGTTGGGAAAGAGATCTGTTTGCTGTTTACTGTACTTGGCAGACAGTCTTAACACGTGATGGAACCCCTTAAAACAGAAAACAGAAATACAAAACTACGTTGTTCTATAAAATTTAGTCCGTATGATTACATGTTTGAATAATAGCCTCTTGGGTCCCATAACAACTTAAAGAATGTTCATTTCTCTACCATATTAAAATATGTATTTTTGAAGAGAATGGTGTGGCCTAATGGTGAAGACGCTAGCCTCCTCACTAGGAAGGTTGAAAGTTCAATCCTAGATAGTGGCAGAAGTTTCTGTCCCAAGGTGCAAAAAAAACCACCCCACCAAACTGTGAACTCAGTGTGGCAATGTCAGGAAAGGCATCACGCCAGTAAACGCTTGGCTCTATCCAGTTGCCCCAACTCATTGCAAATTAAGGGATTACAGGGTCGTAAAAGGGTATCTAAGTCAATTATTAAAAGCAGTTACATTTGAGTAATTACATATATAATTACTTAAATGTAACTGCTTTTAATAATTGACGTAGATCACATTTTTCATATTGTCATTCACTTATTAAGCAAGCTTTCCAAAGTCAAAGACAAACAAAGACAATCTGGTTTATAATTAGAGATTTTCTAATCCACCTGTCTTGAACTGCCAAATTTAGATCTAATTAAAGATAAAACTTTATTTAGTCTTCTCTCTTTGTATCTAAGCAGTAGTACTAATCAAGAACACTTCCAGGTTTTGCATTCAACTGATGACTAGATGGACCCACTATTCCATTCTCTGCTGGAAACACTGTCAGTATTTATCCCTCCTCTGACTTACCGAAGCAACACACCAATAACTTTCCAAATGTGTTTCAAGAATTCTTTGTCTGCCTGAAGATTTAAGCTTGCTTTTCTTTTTACGTGGGTTAATTTCAGTTAGTGGTAGGCAGGGATGAAGAGACTGCTAGTGCTGGAGGTTTTGGTTTTCTTCTGCTTGAGTAGAGCACAGGCAATGGAGATTTTATTTTCCCTCTTCTGGGAAAGTCCAGAGCTGATAGATGCCTTTTGCTTCCCTCTTTGGAATGATAAATATTCAATTGCAAATTCTTCCGACTTTTCTTCCAGTACATGCATCTTCAATAATAATGTATTAAGTTATATAGCAGTGGTGGCGAACCTATGGCATGGGTGCCAGAGGCGGCACTCTGAACCCTCTCTGTGGGCACACGTGCCGTCGCCCCAATCCTAGGCCTTCAGCTGGGTTTTATAAAACCTTTTTGCTTTAGGCCTCCACCACTGTGTACAAAAAAAAAAAGTTCAATCAATCAGTCAATTTCAACTTCTCGGGGAAAAAAAAAGATCTTGCAAAGTTGGAATTGATTGATTGAACTTTTTAGTTCCACCCAGTCTGCTGTTACCACCACAGCCATGCCCACCCAATGGGCCACACCCACCTAATGGGCTATGCCCACCCAGCACCGGACGATGCATAAGTGGGTTTTGGGTTGCAGTTTGGGCACTCGGTCTCTAAAAGGTTCGCCATCACTGTTATATAGAATGGAATGAAATAGAATAGAACAGAGAACAGCACTGGGGTGGGATGGAATGCAATGGAATTATATAAAGTAATATGGCAGGGGTAGGCAACTTTGGCTCAGGAATTCTGGGAGAAGTCCACAAGTCATATAAGATCCAAGGTTGCCTGCCCCTGTAATATGGGTTTCACTTTCAGTGCTTGTCTCTAAAATCAATATTTTCCCTCTTTTTTATATTGCAAAATAATTTTAACTAGGGTAATATATCACTTTTTAAAAACATTTTTAATTTTTTTCATTCTGCTATTTGAAATGAGTTACACATTTAGCTATGTCTTATCATTACTTACATTCCTATGACTTCAACTTGAGTCACTTGAAAGTTATTGCAATCCAGGAATCAGATTTCCTAATGACAAAGAAAATCAGAAAAAACCACCATCACAGCAATTTCAAGAGAAGGATGATGCCTGCATGGTCTCTCTTTTTTAAAAGAAGGACTTAGTCATTCAGTGGAACACACATTTATTTATTTATTTATTTAACAAATTACTCAAGGCAGTAAACATATCCAACATTTCATCTTCCTCCAATTTTCCTCACAGCAGCAGCCCTGTGAGGTGGGTTGGGCTGAGAGAGAGCGACTCTGCTCACTTTCAGGATTAGAACTCACCGTCTCCTGTTTTCTAGCCTGGTGTCTTGAGCATTAGACAAACTAGACCAGACTGGCTCATTCATACACATAGTATCACATCATCCTGAAGGCAGGGTTTTTCAATGCTGCTAAGAAGATCCTTCCTTGAGCAATTTTCTAGCTTCCTATATGTTGCATTATTCTGCCCACCTTTTAATTTTTTGTAATTCTTTGCTAGAAATATCTGCCAACCTTATAGGTCCTCACATAAGTATACATTTACTTCAAGTGCTCCATCAGTACATGATACTAAAACATCATGCTTCTCTTTCTTCAAATATATTCCACCAAATCAGGGTTTCCCTTGCTTTTTTTCTGACCATTTCACTGGACAATTCCTGACTTGGAATAATGGCTACAACATATCTGGAAAGCACCAAGTTGGAATAACTGCAGCTGAAATTCATCTTCTGACTCTCCTATCCTATTTTTTCTCTTCTTCTTAAGCACATCTTCCCTAAGAGACAGATCTGACTTTTGCTTCTACTGTCCTCTCTAGGTTATGTGCATTGAAAATATATTTATAAAAAGGATTTTATGACTATGCTAAGACAACTGGAACCATGTTTGAACTAGAGAAGCTCATGACCTACACAGTCAAGAGAAATGACAAAAAAAGCTCATTCATATGCATCAAAAGGTAGCAGGGATCAAAGGAGGTAATAACAATAGGTTCCACAGGGCATGGGAGAAATATTTTCTGAACTTATTCTTCTCTAGGATGATATCCAGATGAAAGGAAAAGTAAGCCATAGTGCAGGAAGAATGGGGCCAGTGCCTTCTACATTTTAGGTTCAGAAAAGAACAATCAGTACTTGATGTCATTTAGTCAAAGCTGCTGTTACATACTTTGCTCTACTTTTCATTTCTCTCATTCCTTGTTAAGAGTCTACCATTTCATTTTGGTCTACAATCTTTTCCCTCTTGGAATACATCCTTTCTAGTTCCCATAGCAACGTCCATCTTTCTCTATTTGTTCCCCAAGGACTCTTCCTTGCGGTTGTTGCGTCTTCTTTCTCTTTGCCGAAGCTATTTCTGGGATTCTTTTGGTATCATCCATTGCCCATTGTACTTGTATCCTCTTGGTTGAACTGAACATATATTACATTAAATGCCTATGCCCAAACTTCGTCTTTCTGCAGTATTTCAATTGCTTCCAGTTATCCCAATAGTTGTTTTCAATAGTGGGTTGGATTATACATGATGTGAAATAAATGGACAGGAAGATGTCATTCCCCCCCCCCCTTTATAATAGAATTTGAAGTTATGTAATGAAAAAAGTGCTAAAACAAACAAAGTTTTCATAAACAAATTATGTCATAAGATGAAATGATAGCTGCCAGGTTTGATTATTTTGAAGGATGATTAAACAACTCTAGAAATAACAATTTGGTCTAGTAGTTAAGGCATCAGGCTTTAAAACCAAGAGACTGTGAGTTCTAGTCCCACCTTTGGCATAAAGTCACTTTCTTTCAGCCTTAGGAGGAAAAGGCAAACAGCTGCCAAAAAAACCTTGCCAAGAAAACTACAAGGATTAATGCAGGCAGTTGCCAGGAGTCAAGTCTGACTTGAAGGCACGAAAAACAAACAAGCAAAAACTCTATGGATGGTAAGGATTTCAGTGTCATGGTGGCTCTATGCTACTCTCAGTATCAGAAATGTATGGGTAGTCCTTGACTTACAACCATGTGTTTAGTGACGGAAGTTACGAGAGCACTGGAAAAAAAGTGACCTACAGTCGGTCCCCACACTTACAACCATTGCTGCATCCTATGGTCACACGATCAAAATTTGGGTACTTGGCAACCGGCTTGTATTTATGACCTGAAGTCACACGATTGCCATTTATGACCTTCCAGCTGCTTTCTGGCAAGCAAAGTCAATAAGAGAAAGCCAGATTCACTTAACTTGCAACAGTGATTTGGTTAACAACTATGGCAAAATAGATCATAAAATTGGGTACAACTTATTTAATAACTGCCTTGCTTAGCAATGGAAATTCTGGTTTCTACTGTCATAAACTGAAGACTATCTGTAATGTCTTTTAGTTCTAATAATTGGAAAATGTGAATAAGTTCACCTCTTGCTTCTGAGTTTCTGCTTTTCTTCTCTTAGAACAGAATATTGGATTGTTTTTGTTCTTCTAGGGCTCTTTTTAGGTTCAAATCTTCCTAATCATTTTCGCTTCTACCAGCACAGTCATCACACCTAACATTTGAAACACTTTTATTTTGTGTTTGCGTGCTTAATAACACATTATCTCTAATACACCTCAGAACAGTAGGTCAGTATTTATTGCCAAATTGCAGATGGAGAATTAAGAGACTGCATGATGCTGCCTTACTGTCTTCGTAGTAGAGACAAAATGTGAATCTTGTATGTCTTGAGTTTATAGC